ACTGTTACCCTGCGAATTCTATTCTTAGGAAGGTCTATAAAAGAGCATTTAAGCCACTATTTGGGCACTGGAAGACACACCAGTGAAATTCTTTTGAGTGGGTTAGCAGCTTTTAAAAGCTGGGTGAGAGGTTTCACTGCAGGTTTTTTTTTTTTTTTTTTTTTACAACCTGCCAGCCTCCAAGCTGCTGAGAAAAACATGCCTCCCTTCACTGGGATGATTTTACTTGCCGGCCCTATCAACTGCAATATTGTTCTTATGAATAACACTAATAAAAATCCATCCCTTTATCTCTTTCAAAGCCATTGGATAAACATTAAAAAAGCAATAATGGTCTCATTCTCTCCCATCGCTCCCTGAGACTGGAGGTGAATAGCTATTATAAGAAATAGTAAATAATCATGGAAAGTAAGGGTGAGGAGGAGGAGGAGGGAGGAGGAGGAGGAGTAGTTTGCACTCTATCTCCCTTCATCTCCAGCAGGCGAGCTGACAGGGGAAACTTCAGACCTCTCGGCCACTCAGCTGTGCGGAAGAATGAGCATCGCCAAGGCGAGTGGCAAAGCCTAAGCCCCTTAATGAACATTACTACCCCATTTGCATGTGTGGGAGCATGTATGCGATAGCCTGTTGGCACTCTCTCCATTTCTTTTCCATTTGTGTGTGTGTGTGTGTGTGTGTGTGTGTGTGTGTGTGTGTGTGTGTGTGTGTGTGTGTGTGTGTGTGTGTGTGTGTTTTTGGGGTGGTTGGTGTGTGTGTGTGTGTGTGTGTGTGTGTGTGTGTTCAGCAGCCAGGGTTTAGGGGGCAGGGTGGATAGTGTAACGCTGACACTCGAGGAACGAATGTCGTCCCACTATTGTGTTGCAGGGCAATTATAGAAAACGAGTCTAACAAATGCACAATGTATAATTCAGAACATCCTGCATTTCTTCATACCAAAAGTATTCATTACCAGCCCCAGTAGATAAACATTTATTTTTAATGCAATGACCCTGCTGTTTTCACTTATTTATATGTTTATTTTCAGCTCTAAACGTTTAGGCTTTCAGCTGATGCTCTTTTTGAGGGACATTCAATATAACACTTACAAACACGTTGACCATTTAAAACATTTTGCCAGTTCCTGACACTTTTTTGTGTCCTTGATCGAAGACACTGGCACGACTGATTTTTAGATCAAGATTGCTATCAATGGTTTGTATCATGGTTCAGAAATCAAATGTCTGAAACAAAGCATCCCCGAGATGTGGTAAACCATTCATGAATGTGTCTTTGATTACAAGAGGAAAATCAGTAGCGGGCAACCACTATTTCACAAGGGCGAAAGAGAGAAAATTCAAATACGTACATGCTCATCTAACCATCTTGTGTGGCCCTTCATATTATCCCATAACCTCCCGGGAGGGTCCTGTCCTCACTGATCGGGGGGAGATTATGCATATTGCAGTGTTGGGAGTGTCAGTGAGGCACTCAAACAGGTAAAAGTATATTAAATAGAAATTCTTAAACAATTTAGTTGTTTCACCCTGCTTCCAGCCTAAGCTAATTGCTTCCTGTCTCTAGCTCCATACTTAACCCATGGATATGGGTCATATTCTGACATTTTAAGGACCAAACAATCGAGAAAAAATGATTTATAACAAAAACAATTAGTAAATCAATTAGTCAGAAGTAGACAAAGCTTTATTTTAAGGTATCACAAACCAAAAAAGGTTAAACATTTCCTCTTTACAAATTGTTTCCACACTCCTTCCCAAAGATCTGTGGTTGCTCTGGGACAGAGACTTCCCACTCGCTCATGACTTGGAAGACACATTAAAAAGACTCAGCATCCATCTATGGACCTAAGTCATGGGGTTTTCCACTCAGCTCCTTAAGGAGACCTTTAATAATGCAAGGCGGGGAGCTCTGCGACAGGGCCCATTCCTGGAATACCTGGCGCAGAGTAGCTGCACAAGGAGGCCTTAACTAAACTCTGCTGGATGCTGGAATCCAAACCATTTGTGGTGTGAAGACTGGCGGGCACCATCGACATTCCACCTGACAGTAACACTAAATACACCTGAGAACTGCTAATCTTTTATTCACTACAGCCTCTAGATGAGGGAGGTGAGGCATCGGAGCCTGGTAGGGCAGCTACTGCACTCATCAGTGGGATTATTCGGCTGCCAGAAAAATGGTTTCATCCCCCGAGGTGAGGGAGAAAGAACCGATGAACTGAGCAGAGGGGATAGAGCCGAGCACCCGTATGTGTGTGTGTGTGTGTGTGTGTGTGTGTGTGTGTGTGTTGATGACACTGCAGAGGCTAGAAGAGACAGCGAAAGAGGAATCACCCACTACACCACACTAAAAGGGCTGGTTTGGAGCCAGTGGAATGATGTATTCCTCTCTAGTAAAGAATAGAATAGAAGGTCAGGAATGCTGAACACAGAAATGACCTCAGAGGCACTCACGCTACGTTGATGGACATGAGGAAGGGTGGAGCTGATTTGAGAAGACTGCTTTTACTTCTGTGCCCTTCAAAACAAATAAACCTGCTGTCCTCGTTGCTCATACTGAAGATTGATACAGTGAACTCGCAAAAAGTTGATTCATGACTGCTCGAATGTGATATCATCTCTCACTCTTGTATATTTCCTGCTTACTCCCCACTGAATGTGACCAAAAATCCCACAAAAACAAACAATCCTCTGTGTATGTCTTCAGTATTTTTCCAGGTTTAGCTACAAATTTGGGATTTGGAGTGGGCAGCTGACTGCATGTTTGGGCCTGCCAGGGTGAATCCAACCCACGGCGCTGCATAAACAGCATACCAAGTGGCATTTTGGGTAGACAGGAAGAGGTTAGAGCAACAACACCTCGGCTACGGGGGGAGGGAAGTTCAGAGTCTTTCTTGCAGCAACAAAGATTAAGCAACAAGAGGCAAATATGCAACATTCAGCTGACTGCAAAACATCATCAGGACTGAATTTTAGCCAATACTAGATGCAGGTTCTTCTAGCTGTGGAAGACTGTGGCATAGATTAGTTGTCACCACTGCTTCTGAAGACTTTCCTACTGCCTGTGTCTGTGAGAAATCCTATTTAAATGTAGATGACAGGGCTGCTTCTTCTCCCATCTCCCAGTCTCATCCTCTCTCCATCCCCCCTTTTCTGGCTCTGGGAGTCCGTCTCCGCTGCTGCAACTGCAGTGAAATCGAAGATATCTGACGGACCGTGACGGCTGCTGAAATAAGGCCCAAAAAGTGCCCACAGTCACATTTCCAAAGCATGACGGCAAAATATTCATAATCTGCTGTGGATATTACTGCGCGAACACAAAGAAGGTAATAATCCGTATCTCAAAAGAAAGGTCAGGATGAAAGATTTTAAATGTAGGCTAACAATGGATGTTTTATTCATGCAAGCTGTTCCAAAATATAGATCCAGGACTGTATCATTTATTCACAAGCACATGGCGCACACATACACACACACACACACACACACACACACACTCACTCAGCCAAAATGTTAAGAAGCAAAACATACCCTTGAGGCTTTGCTTCTAACCCAGTAAGCCCCAAAGCATTTTAGAAAGCGGCATTAAGATGTCAGCATGTGAGCTTTGTATGATGCTTTTACCAGCATGCTCTATTCCCACTAATTACTTTCAGTAACTTAAACACCTTAGCTCATCTGGAAGGCTGCAGTTCAGTCTTCTGACTAGAAAGAAGCAGTAAAGTTGGAAGATTGACACGCTAGGTTTAACAGGTAAACACATTGTATCATTTAAATGTTTTTTTGTCAGTGTAAATGATACAAAGTAATCAATTCTGCAAACAAAAAAAAAAAGTTTTCCTCTTTATTGTTTGATTTGCTGTTTGGTCCATCATCAGCTCTCACTCTGTTATGCTCAGCCGGGGTTGTGAATCACATGAGCGGCACTTCAGTGGCAGCGGTTAACCTTTGACCTTGAGTCCAACTCATGACCACGGTTATTACTATGACATCATAAATACAAGGGAACAGACGTCGGCTGGAGCACCTACAGGCACATCACATCCGATATGTGTCTTTTCATGCAGATGAAATTATCACAGGTCACACGAGCAAGTGAGTCCGCCTCTGTCAGCGGCGTGATATAGAGTCACACGTCAGCCAGCTGAATCCCTTTACAGCCTTTCAGTCAAACAAAGAAAGCCCACTCGAATGTCTTTATTTGGGACTAAAGCTAAGGTGGATAGGGTGTCTCGCCCACTGAGCCCTTGCTGCATTGTCCACACAACACACACACACACACACACACACACACACACACACACACACACACGTTCACTGCATCATAGCCTGCCATGACCCAACATGTCAAGGAAACAGGCATTCGATCAAACATGATTCATTTCTGCCCACAGAATCATCCAAAACATCTTTCCTGTGCTCCTCTTTCTTTACAAACCAGTGTATCACAGCGCCTGGTGTTACAGCTGTAACACATATAGGGAAATAAAATGTCCCTTCTATAGTTGCAGTGACAGTCTGCAACCCGATGCTTCATCAATCTATGTCTGCATTGATCAGGAGGGCAACAACTGCTGCCCCAACACAGATCCTCTTTATGTATATAAAAAGATAACCAGGGCATATGTTGGTGCCATCTATAACACTAGGTTGCAAAGGCTAATGGGTAATGATTATTTGGGTGAAATGAGGTGGTCAAACTGGGGTCTGAGGACCTTCAAGGGTTCTAGAGGGGCTAAAGGGGGTCATAACAAGTAAATATCCCAGTTAGAGCAAAGAGAAGATCGCTTATTACCTTTAATGTGACCTTCACAGTACATTAACAGCTACAATACTATCATATGAGGTGTTAATCTTTTCAAATAGGCACCCGTGGGTGTTTGTCTATTTAAAATCCCCCAGTGTAAACACACTGACTGGGTCATTCCCAATTCACAAGGACCCACAAAAATGATAAGTCATGCACCCCCCCTTTTTGTCGCCGTGCTCCCCCCTTTAACATACCTCGGCACACAGCTGGGTGAGGAGCGGTCCACCTCCCAGGTAGCGTACAGGTTCATGTGGACCGGCCGGTTGGAGGTGATGCTGACCGGCTTGGAGGGCTGCATGTGCGGCGAAGGGACGCCCCCAGTCCGCGGGAGCCCTCCTCGCTCCGACATCCTGGAGGCTGAAAACGGGCTTTCAGGCGGAGCTGATAGGAGGAATACCCGTAGTAGCCTGGCTTCTCCGTGTGTCTGTGTTTTTTGTTTTTTATTGTTGGGTGCCTCCTCCTCCTTCCTTTAGCTTATTTTGTCAGGCTCCTGGTGGTGCAAATGCGTAAAAAGGCTCCCGCGTACAATGCAAAACGGAAAGTTGGTCCGTTTCGTGCTATTCGCCGCCTGGTAGTGAACACATCGCAGTCGCCGGGGGTTTTGAACCCGAAGACAGGCGGTGAATCCCTCGCGTCCGCCTTGTGTGTCCTCTCGCTATCCACCCCCCTCCGCCTGCGCCTCAACTTGGTGTCTGCTCGGTGCGTGTTGGTTGGTGTTTGTCGGTGCAGGAAGCGGAAATTTCTCTCGCCGAAGTCGCACAATGAGCAGAAACCAACGAGCAACGCCTCTTCAGTTAGAGGACGTAGAGCGCGAGGGAGAGAGAGAGAGAGAGAGAGAGAGAGAGAGAGAGAGAGAGAGAGCACGAGAGGGGCTGGCCAATAGTCTGCTGCTATTATGTCTACTCTTAAATTTACTCTATACTATATACTATACTATACTGCTACTACTACACGCTATATTGGCACAGGCCTATATGGTGTTTCTTTTGCGTATTATTCTATTCATGTAATAGTTTTATTTGTTATTTTTAGAGGTTGTATTGGAACTGGTTTGCAGGGGCGGATCTAAGAGGGGTGGCATAGGGTGGCAGCCCCCCCCCAGTTGCTGGTGTCAAATTCTGCCAAATATAAAATAACATTTTAAAAAATAATTTAATGTAGCCAAATTTTAAGTGATAGACTTTCAATGTCCACTGTGTAACATTTAGGAGGATATTTTGGCAGGAGTGGAATAAAATATGCATAACTATGTTTTCTTTAGTGTATAAAAAATAAAAATTTAAAATGTTGTTACATTAGAATGACCCTTTTATAGCTACAGACTCCGTGAGTCACCTTCTGTGGCGGCCACCGTGTTGAACCTCCATGTTTCTACAGAATGGACAAACCAAACACTGGCTCTACATAGAGGCGTAAGCGTTATTGTGCATGTTGCGGCTACCATAGTCTCTTGAGTTGTAATCTGGAACTACACCACTACTTTTTTGTGCAATAAAACCTATAGTTTTTAGTTTAGATTTAGTCTTTAGTCTTGTATTTATTATTAACAATAAATTAAACATCTAAATCTGTGGCATTGTGTATTAGTGTAGTTAAATGCAAACCATTTGTTTTCTTTCTTTTTTTTCTTTCATTCTGGATTATTATGCTTGCTTTGTAACCCTTGTTTACAGTATATGGTAATGCAAATAAAGCTAATATGAAAACAAATGAGAAAGAAAAGCATTGCATGATGAACATTGACCCTATTAAACCTTTAAAAAAAGATCTCACATTTACTTTATACTATATGCTGAGATGTATTTCCAAACATACAAAAACTGATGATTACAGAATAGTTGCATACTGCATATATACTTTGAACACTGGGATATGTTCCTCTATATGCTGCTATCAACACAAATATCTACAAATAAATATAATACAGTATATACAGTCACAGTTTGTTTGATGAAACATGATTTTATATAAGCAAATAAACAGTATAAGGTATCTGCACTCATATTTTCAACGCTGTAGATGATTCAGCTTCATTGAAGGTGTGGTCAGTTAGAAACCTCTCTCAAGTAAATACAAACTAATACATACTTCACCAATTTAGCCTATAAGTTGAATAATTCGTGGTTATCATTAGACAAACGAATCAAATAGATGATTAACACCAATTGCATATACTGGGACAGCTTTTCCTCTGCACAGTGATATTGACTTAAACTAACCTCAGGGCCAGTATTGACCCATCATTCCCTGCTTCACCTTCACACCACCTGCAGAATTGCACTTTCTGTATTATACCGTACAGTATGAGAGCAAACTCTCTAATACAGGAAAACAATAGATATTCTGGTGTTTTACTGGGGATCAGGTAAATCTGTGAATTGTTCTATTTTAGGCACGTAAGGCTAACTCAGGTGTTGCTGAAATGACTCCCATTTGTCATACACACGTGCAAACTCTCACACACACCTTCCTTCAGCTGTTGTGAGTGAGTAAATATACAAAGGTGTAAAACCGGTTACAGTCTGGGAATTCTGCTCGCCTTGGAGTCATAGGTACCTGCTGACTTGTTCCCTGAACTGTTAGGTGTGACAACCAGATAAGCAGAGGAAAACCCCATCTTTTAATGGTCATGCTTATTATGAGGTCACAATGTAGCACGCATGTGGTTTCAAGCTGTAATTTGTGTAGGGAAAAAACATAATCTTTTAATAAAAGCATACAAAAATGCTTGTCTGCCAAGTTTTTTCACTCCAGTTTACCTGTTAATCACCAACTATGGGCAACACTTCACCTGTTTTCATGTGAAACAAGCACCACGCTGCATCCTCTCTGTGTGTTTGGCTGGCTGTCAGTGCAGCATGAAATAGGTGCAATGTGTTTGCACCCTCAGGTGACAAAGGCATGGCCATGATTACAATCTCTGAATCAGAATATGAATCAGAAGGTGATCTAATCACTGCACCAACGTCACAGCAAGGCTGGCTGCCACCAGCTTGACATTTCTCCATAGACAGATTATCACAGCTGTCATCAGGGCTAACAACAACATTATAGGCTTTAAATGTCTGTGGATGGTTTTCAAATGTGAGCTGCTGCATTAACCACTGGTAGTAATGGTTTTAACCACCACTAACATCTAATGGTGTTGTGTGTTTGTACAGAAGTTTCCCTCTTTAACATTTGTCATGCATATTTGTTTATATCAAATCCATTAAGGACATTACTTACATGGATTTTTTATTATAGAACTGCACTATAAAGAACCAATGTGCTGTTTGGCACATTTTTTAAAATAGTTTATGTTTTCCTCCAAAAGCCTAATTGCTACTTTATAATGCCATTCTATAATGAAAAATCCATGTAAGTAATGCCTAATGGATTTGATATAGATAAATATGCATGACATGACGGCAAGGTGCAATTTGGCTTTTGGAGGAAAACATCAGCTACTGCAAAAAATGTTTTGCTCCATTTTTTCAAACCAAAAATACTTGGTACTGCAAATTTAAGTTCAGGCATTAACACAAAAAACATTGGAAAGTAGTGAGACTTGACAGCACTGTAAGTTTTCTTTTACTGTAGTATACTTCATAGTTGTATAGTATAGTATTTAATGGATGGAATAGCCTTCTAAGGGGGGCCCAGGGACAAAATAAGGCTAATCGGCTCCTATAAGCCCCCCATTTCTTAATATCTTTGTGTAGTGTGAAACTTACTATATTAATATGGAACAATACATGGACCCAGGTTTACTGTGTGGTAATTAGGGCTGTTGTTACATACCGGTATTTACACTGACTGAAATAATAAAAGATCCTGTAGGTTGTCAAAAGTACTTGACTTCATATCTGGGAAATTTTAGGAGGCCAGCATGGGGACATTAAGGGGTTTTACAGCAGTGAAGCCACATTTTTATATAATTTATGTTAAAGTAAAGGGAAGCATTATGGTGTCATATTAATACAGTATGCTAATGACTTGAAGAGCTGTAACTGGCACAACTTCCGCTTTCTGTATAAACTACTTTTGGGTGCAGGGACAATGTTATATTTGCAACTAAAATATTTTTAATTTCTGAGAACTCAAAGGGGAACTCCACTGATTTTATACATCAAAATTTGTTTGGTTTTGACAAGTTCTGCTGCTGCATATGTTTTTTTGTGACTCCACAGACGGAGCAGTGTGAAGTCTGATAAGCGGCCTCAAGAGATGTCACTTGAGTCAGTGTTGGTTGGAGCTTAAGTTTAAAAATCTGAAGTTGTAAAGAAGTGATCTTGCCAGACCTTTATAGCCCATTCCTTATCTCTGCTTGAGGCTACATTAGCTGCTCTTTCAAAGGCAGCATTACTTATATGTGTAATAAACCAGTATAGGCAGGTGATAAACCGGCTTGTTGGCCACAGTAGGGCTCTCTCTGCATTTACATTGGCCTGAAGATCTCTGTCTTTAATGGTATGCAGCCAGTGTGTTCTAGGTGGTGAGACTGCACGTTCGAACCTTATCAGGAAGACAGTGAAACTTCTTCCTGCTCACTTATTCAGATTCTAGTCACGGACCAGAAAAGAGAGTTGGTTTCATTCCAGCCAAGCAAAACAAACACTGATGTCACTGGCTAGCTCGTTCTTCCTCTCATACTGAAGGTGTGACAATCGGTGATATCATCTGGTTCAGTAATTAAAAGCATACAGACTCTTCCTCTGGCTGTCTATCTCTGTCCCTCGCTCTGGATAATCAGCCGGATGACTTAAACACAGTGCAAACCCCCTGCTCTTTTTAACACGTTTCTCTCTTGCCATTGATAAAGAGATTAGAATCAAGCAGATTAAAACATGGTCACGGGATAATCCTGGGTTACTTTTTACACAGCGCCCTAAATCTGCCAGGTCATCAAGTGACACTGCACAGGCTCCAAAGCCAATGTCAAAATCAATTAAGTTCACACCATCTCTTATGCAACACAATTATAGCCCCATATGGAGATCTATGGGCCTAGCACTTTTCATACATGTTGTGCAGCATATTTGCAATAGAATAAGTTTGGGATTCTTTCACATTATGTCTGGGGCCTTTTACCAGCTCTCAAATGATTGTTACTATCAATATTCAGAGGATTTCTAATTGCAATATTTGGCAAAATACCCCAATTAATATATATACTGGTATATATAAAGGCTGCAACTAAGAATTATTCTTATTTAGCCTATTATTTCTTATTATTATTCTTAGTCTTAATAGTGCAAAATATTCAGTACAACTTAAATCCTCACATTTGAGAAGCCTGAAAAATGATTTAAATTATTAATTGATTAACATAATAATTTCAGATTGATCAACCAATCATTTCATCTGTAAATTTGTACCGTTCCAAGTAATGTAGGTGTAAAAGACACGGATATTTTGAATGCTGATTGCAGGAATAAACAAAAGCAACACTGGATGGATGGATGGATAATGGCTCTGTGGGCAGTATCATTACAGTCTGTCCACCACACTGAACCTATGAAAGCACTGGCAAACAGAGGTAAGACATGCTTGCATGCCAGGAGATGATGTCATTTACTCCAGAATGGGCCACACACACACACACACACACACACACACACACACACACACAAAGGTGTCAAATAATAATAGACTAACAGTAACAGTTGCTACAATCAACACATGATGATTGTCCATCATATTGGCAGTATAGATACTGTTGTAGCCAATAAAGCCAATAAAAAAACCAATAAAAGCCTTTCACTTTGCAGACTGTTGCTCTATGCATGTGCTAGTGACCGAGACAACATGCG